TATAATAATAATAATTAATAATTCTTTAGTAGTATTTAGCAAATAATTTTGCAAGGCAATAGATAAATTTTCAGGATTATTTAAATAAAATTGAAAGTATTTATTAAATATTCAATATTATTCTTTAGAGAATTGTTCTATTTAAGATGCTTTGACTTTCATTAATTTTCTGTTAACTATATTATTAAGTAATTTTCATTGCTTGATTGATAATAATTCAGACAAAAACATATCATGTGATGTGGTTAAATGAAAGAAAATGGTATAAGAGCAGAAAAATTGCATGTGATAAATTTCTGAAATTTTACACATTAACAATACAAATATATAAAAATAAAGTAAAAAGTTAAAAAAAAATACAAATACTTTGTTTTTAGTTTTTGTATGGTCCATGCTGTGTCAATTTCACAAATTTATTACAAGAATATTGTTGTATAGAAAAAATTGGGAACATTATGTTTCATTTTATTATTTAATGATTTAAATATTCATCAAACTAAAAAGCAACAAAAATGAGATATAAAATTTTGAATAAGTTAGGAAATAACTTTTATTTTTCACTAAATATAAGATTGAACGTTTACAACAATTGGTAATCAAATGAAAGAACTCATGACAGAAGCTGCATGAGGAGTTTGATGACATCCTGAGTCAAACTTCACAAAGCCTTGAGCCAGCTGTGATTGTTGAATTGCTAGTTCACAGCATTGCAAAGTCTGACTTATAGCATTGTCAAGTTCCTTGTGCTACTTATCAAGAGTTCTGTTTTTGTTTGATAACACAGTATTTTAGTTTACAGAAATTCTCTATATATATTACTTAACATTTTGGCATTATAAAATGTTAGAAAAAGATATTTGAAACATTTACTTAAACAGTATATGATTTGCTATTTATTCAGATATTCTGCTGCAAAGTTATAACATTTTTAAATCTATGAAAATTTCTTATTGAGATTAATTGCAGAGTCCATTGGTTATCCATCCATATTCATTCATATTTCTTTATTAATTATGCATTAAAATTACTTAATAAATATAAATTTTAAAGTGGATATTATATGGAAACTTGTTAAAAGTATTAACGATAACATTTTTACAATTGTATCAGTATATTTAAATTTTAAAAATTTTCCTGTTAGCATTTTTGAAAGTCATTATCATACTTCAATAATTCTAATTTTGGTAAGTAAAATAAAATTATTTTTTGACACAAAAATTATTTTATATATATAATATAGCAAGTTATCCGAAAATCTATGAAGCTTGAACTGTAAATTTTAGATAACTTGCTATATGTTATAAATGTGATTGATCTGCAGATTGTTCTTTTACTTTACATTAAATGATTATCAAATTTATATGGATTGAAACCTTAGATTTTAGGAACTTGCTACATTGAATAAAAAGTGGTAATTTAGATAGATGTTATTTTTATGCTTTGAAAACATTTTGTTTTATAAAATATTCTATCAGTTAAATATTTATGATGTGTAATTATACACAAAAATGATTAAAGATATAGAAAATTCATAACTATTATTATCCATAATTTTACTTTAATTGTAAATAAATTCACTATTGCCAAATTAAAGAATAATTTTGAATATTATTAAAATGTTTTGTTATCAAAATACTGTATTTGTTTATTTATATTTTGTCTTTCATTATTGCAATATTTTGTATATATACCACTATATATTCTGTATTAGATTGTTTTTCCAAAATACATTGTATATATACTTGATAAAATAAAAAGCATTGTAAATGCTTAAAAAATATTTCTCAAATTTAGTATGTTTTTAAAGAAATTATTATAAATTTTAAAATTGCATTAGAGTTTAAAGTTTTAGAATTCTGGAGAAAAATCTGAACTTTCTTTAATACTAGTAATAATATAGAAAAAATAAGATTAATAAAAATGAGGCATTACTTTTTGTAACTAAAATTATAGATATTTCGTATATTTGATTCTTTTTAGAGATAATGAACTCACAAGAATATAAAATAATGATGAGAAAATAGAATTTATAAATGACTTATTTATTATATCAAGTTACAAATTATTTAATTATTTATACAATTACAATTTGAAACATTGAGTAGGTTTGTTTTACATTGTTGTAATATAGGCCATATGTAAATGAGTTTTCAAAACTGATTGGATATGTAAAGTCTGTATGAATGTCATGATAGTGAATCAATCAATCACAGAATGGGTAAGGCTGAGGATTTATATGCTTTTGAGGTTGCCCACAAAAGCATTGTTGTAACCAGATTACATTGAGTTACAGCATTTTGAAAACAGCAAGTATGATCAGATGTTTGAGGGTTAGCGGTCATAAATTGAAAACAGAGAACAATGCATTCTAGAAAATGGCTATCTCAGTATCATTGAGGATCAAGTGCATCCATATATATTAACTTTCTCAGATAGATTGGGACTTTTCCAATAATGCACTCTCACAATGCTGATATTATATAAGAATGCTTCCAGGAATATGAAAATAATTTTTTAATCATGCCCCAGTCATCAAAGTCTTAATCTAATTTGAGCATTTATGGAATATCATATCAAATCAGGTTTCATCCTCAGAATCGTAATGAATTGTGGGATACAATTATAACATTTTGGATCCACCTTGAAGTAACTTTGTGTTGATGTCTCAACAGGTTGCAGCAGTAGAGTCCTACAAGATTCTAGCAGGGTGATCATAATGTATTGGATCATCAGTAAGTTGTCACTTCTCTAGGCTTCAAATGTTTGTTCCAGACTCTGAATTTAATTATACCTCCAGGTTTGAATTTTGAAAAGTTTAAATTCTGAATAATTTTTAAGTTATTTGATTAAGAAATTTATTGACAAAACTTTTGGTTAAAACCAAGTCTTAGAACTGTTTATCACGTTCAGTTTTGACATGATTGCCATAAATCCATAGCCTTCAAAGTTATCGAAATCGCGCTATTTAAATGATTTTAAAACCATATAAAGAGGGAAAAATCATATTTCGTTATGGTTTATTACAAGTCCTTGTAATCCAAAATTCATGAAGAACGTGGTTTATTTTTTAGCAATGCCATATAGAACTAATTGGCAAGGAACTTAAAATAATGAATTTTTCAAGATATGTTGGTTTCAGATCTCATGTCTTTTGCGGATGAAACTTGCTTTTGAAAAGTCTTTTGGCAGGAACTGAACGAAAAAAAAAATGTACAAAAAGGCGCAATCATAATTTATAACATGCTTGATTTAAAATAAAAAAAATGTAGCGCATACCTTACAGTTCATGAAACGAACTGTACTGTACTACAGCTTTATTTCTGGGTTATCTCTATGTGGAACCTCGGTCTATCGAGACTTTTAGTTAGGAAAAGAAGAAACAATAGAATGTGAACAACCACTGCCGAAAGTAATTAGCTAGACCGTGGCCAGCCATGATCCATCGCCGATGATTTTGAAGCCATCGCAAGCTCTAGGTTTTAGAAGCCAAATATGCCGGTCGCCAATCACATCTGACCTTCACTCGTTGAGCATTTGGTCAACTACTATTCTAGCTACGCTTGCCAACTCCCGAAGAGTTTATACCATTATATGCGTGAAAGATTCCGGGATATTATTTAAGTCTTGCAAAAATTGTTTTTAC